GGTAAATTGGAACACCTTTAGAATTCAAGACCACAACTTCTCCTGAGGACGATCTCTACCGAAGATCACATGTGACTGAGACAAGCAACCAGTTTTAGTGAGAATCTGTCGGACGTCATCACTGTTAAAATAAGTGCAAATTTACCTAGTCATGCCTAAAACGGTTAAGGAAAGGAACGAAAAGGTGCGAATAGGTGAAGGATACTTACGAAGGTTGTGGGTATCTCGTAACTTTAGTCTACGGACACTTACGAGTGACCCCGATGCCATTTGGCACACACTCGTCCCGTTCCGTCATCTGCAAGATTGGTAGGGAATGATCCGATATGGCGTCAAACGTACCCATGAATGACAGGGTATTTAATAATTTGTTGGGCTGTTTCGTGAAGAGAATCGTGTGGGAGGGAACGCTGTTAGGATAACGTGGACCATACTAAGGAACGAGGAAGATACAGGTATGGCTACTGATGCTACGAGGGCGAGTCAGCTTTTGAATCATTACTGAACACATGTAGCGAGTGAAAGTGATTTAGGGGGAGGTTGCGTGACAGTTTCTTGTAGCCAATATATTCAACACTAACCCACTTCATCCTGCTCTCTCGACGTTTTGTGTGGAAAATAAATACAACTGACAATTTGGAAGCAATAAAATGAACAAGAATACCTTGCCAAGTGCATTTATTTGCACGCTTCGACGCTTCTTCTGTCGTGTTTTAAAATCCATGGGAAGGGGGTACAATCCCCTCAGATCCCCTACACAACTTTTATCCGTCCTTGTCAATACAAACCTAATTGATTTTTTGCAAAAGATGTTCCATGGTAGACAGATATTGTTCGGACAGGCGACGTGTGGATGTGTTCAGCGTAATTAATAAATATATAATAAACTGCATCCCTATGCATAATAATGAATAAACTAATACGAAAAAATAAAATATGTATAGTTATAATTCCTATTTATAGTCCCTTTAGCTCCGTGAATTAGTTGACAAAACAAAATATCTGGAAAATAAAAAAAATGTATTACTTTCATAATTTTTTGTTGGCTATAAAATGCGCACGATATATGGAGGTGACAAATCACTGAGTGGAGCTTATGCATACTCGATGATCTCATTAACCCTGTTGCTCTCGTGACGTCACAGGGCATTGTTTCGATGGTCATACAACAAAATTAATTTTCACAAATTACGCCTTAGGGTATTGTGATCTGTTTGCAAACTTTGTGGTACGGAATCCTAAAGGTTGGCCAGTTCTGATAACTGTTAATCAAACTTTACACATAATGAACGTGATATCCGGTTCGCTAACCCGAACGGCACGTGTTTCAAATTGGAATGGAAAAACTAAAATAAAATGTTCATACGCAGTGCGAAGTCCGAAAAATGTCAGGGCTTCGAATCCTATTAACAACGTCTGTCAACCAATCAGATTGCAGCATACACTCGCATTCGTTTTACAATGGCAGACAACTGTGTTAGAGTTTACCCATGGCGACAACTTCCCCTGCAGTCTTCCGAACCTTGATCATAGAGGGTATGCTAGGGCATGATATCCTGCCCAATATAGCCAGTTTTGTTTGTTTGTTTGTTGTTTAACGCCGCACTCAGCAATATTCCAGCTATAGGACGGCGGTCTGTAAATAATCGAGTCTGGACAAGACAATCCAGTGATTGACATCATAAGCATCGATCCACGCAATTGGGATACGGTGACATGCATCAACCAAGTCAGCGAGCCTTACCACCTGATCCCGTTAGTCGCCTCTTAGGACAAGCATAGTCGCCTTTTACGGCAAGCATGGGTTGCTGAAGACCAATTCTACCCCGGATCTTTGCCGGTCGGATAATGCCAGTAATATATGCAGCTACATTGTGGGAAACCACATCGTGCTATGGCATTATATCACAACAGTATCAACACTTAACATCCTGGATAATTCAGTGTATTTTATCTCTATTCTGTTGGGACAATTAGTCTCGACCCTTTCGCTACCATAGATTCGTTAATTACTCTGGACCCATTCGCTACCATAGATTCGTTAATTACTCTGGACCCATTCGCTACCATAGATTCGTTTTGAACCATATTCGATTGGCACGTCGCTAAAAATAACTGTTCAATCATTTTACGCTCATGAGCGAGAGAAATCCTATGCGAATTTGGAGACATGCGAAATGGCAGTGACGTCACTTCCGAAACAAGGATAATCGATGATAATCGATAATCGAGTGTTTTTAGCTATCGCCAATACCATGGTAATAGTAGAAATACCCACGATATTCACCACCACATGTTAAACGTAAGAAGTCCGTATTACTTAGTGGGGTAATGCACATCGCATGAATATATTTTGCTTCAAGGGCTAACCACATAGGCATCCCGGACAGATTACACTCCAGCTCCCCATGTTTATCATAAGAGCAGAATAATGGGGATAGTGTCTCATGCCATCAATCACTGTATTGTCTGGTCCAGGGTTTCTATAGTTATAGTCCGCCATCTTATAGCTGGAATAGTGCTCACTGTGACGCAAAACAACATTCATTCACCCAATCACATGAAGCGACTCGTGTCACCATGAACGAATAAGCAATTTGGTCTTAACATAAAAAATGTTTGAAAGTAATTTAAGATTATAAGGTACAATGTTTTTTCTTTTTGTTTAATAGCCATAACTGTGACGCGGGCCTCAGTTGTTAATTCGCTTGGATGGTGAGGTTTGTTGGTTGAACAAACGGCTCTTGTGTCCTGTGCTTCTCGCGTTACCAAGCCTTAACCCTGCACGGGTTGTGATGCACCATATTGACTCTATATACGTTCAATTGTGTTTTTTCGGATGTGTATGGCTCGGCCCCATAATGGCCCAATAGTGTTGATTCATTTTTTATCCGTCAGTCATTTATCGCACACGGATCATATTCATGACTTGATGTGCCTCATCTGCCTCGTCTAAACTTTCAACAACAATCCAGTTGGCGATATACACGGAATAGTTGGTTTAATATTGTTGAAACGCTTGCGTCAGTCACAGGCACAGTGGACGATAACTCCTTACTGAATGTTCAAAACGATTGCCTAAAGAGCTAAAACACGTCTCTTCCGGTTGTGTTATCAAAAAACTCGACATAGACGCTCACAAGGTTAATATTTAGGTTATAGGTAAATTGATTGTCTGGATTGCGTGTCTTCAAATGTCTACGGCTGTAATAACATTACTATTTTGGATAAATAGTGGGGAATGATTTTATCTGATGATTGGTATTGACTGAGTGAGTGTGTGTGTTGTTGGGTTTAACGCCGCTTTTAACAGTTTTCCAGTTATATCACGGCGTGTCAGCTTATTGTGGGAGGAAGGCCCGAAGTGATGCAGGTCTCAGACGTTTACCACTTTGGTGAAACCCACGAGCACGGGTATGGTGCTGACAAACCTAGAAACATAATCGGGGCGAACCGGGATTCGAACCCACAATCATAGGTTTCTGGCGTGCCCAAGGGACGCAACTCTGCACAGCGAACCGCGGCGCCTCAGACGACTGGGCCACCCGTGCCCCCTCTTTTAAAGTAGCAAATAGTAATTTTTAATGCAGACACAAACATCTCCTTGATGGCTAGGGTATAATTTGGAACAAAATTGTGCAAATCTGGTCAGTGAAGCAGGTGAGAGTCTGTTGCGTTTCTAGCCCTGGCTCTAAAGATGTAATGGCTCATATATCATTTGGGGCAAAGATGGGCAAAATGTCTGCACCCCTTCGTGTCAGGGCCTGCGTGTCGTGGATTCGAAGATTCGCTGGTGATTAACACATGATCCTGGGTATTGCTATACCAGCGCCGTAATCGTGATAACCGTCAACAACCTGGGTCACATCGGACCTTAAATCCACATTAGTCATTTTATACACTAACATTAACTACGTTTGTAACGAACACGCTTATAACTGACGGATATAACGAACTTATTTTTTCCGTCCCGACCATTTGATGTATATATGCTGTATATATGCATATAACGAACTACGGTTATAACGAACAAAAATTAAGTGGTCCCCCCGAGTTCGTTATAACCGGAGTTTACTGTAACTGAATTACTGCTCAAAGCGGCGTTAAGCTCCACTCAATCATCCAATCACTCATTTGCGCAATGAATCATTCGCTCATAAATGTGTCAGAGATTGGGTCAGACATGTTGGTGAGTTAATGAATATTGTTCACCAATGCTCAACCTATATACCGGCTAGACCATATTAACCAGTGAATGAATTCACAATGACACACAATCAGCCAAGGTACCGGACCGAGGGTACTGGGAACCTATTCTCTCCTGGAACAGAAACAAGAACGATTGGAAGCTCGTATTTCTTCCCTGGTCCCCTGGGTCGGTGGAATAGCTTTAGAAAAACTTGGACCACTCATGTTTATTTGCCTCCAACATATCAAGTGATATTTAAAATCATGAACATATGTAGGCTTACTGAACCAAAGAAATCTATTGCGCATTAGGAAGTATTAAGGGTGTTCACAGTTTCTCTGAGACGACACAATTCTCTGTTGGCGAAATTGTCTTCCAGGTCATATTTTATGTTCGCTTCATGGACTTATGTTTTTTTTTAATTTGTTGTATACGCCGCACAGTTTCACACTTACGACGGCTGTCTGTAAAAAATCGGGTCTGGACGGGGCAATCCCGTGATTGACATCATGAGCATGCATGCACGCAATTAGGATACAATAACATGTGGATCAACCAAGAAGATGAGCTAGACGCGCGATCCCGTTAGTCGCCTCTTACGACAAGCATGGGTTGATGTAGACAATTGTAACCCGGATCTTCATCAGGGTGTACTTTATTAAATTCCATATACCGACGCTATGAATGTTACACACACATACATACTTGTATGGTAATGTCCATGTATGCTAGACAAGATCAGGATGGATTGATGTACGTCAACCGATGATGACGCATGTCAAACTTGATAGATAAACGAACAATCATTTTAAAAATTCAATTTATGTAAAAACACATACCCAATGTAAAATCATATAAACCGAACTCAACGTTCATAAATACGTATAGAAACGTAAACAAAATGTATTATCTTGAACTGTTAAAACTGTACAAAATACATGTTGCATAGTGAATATTGTTGAGGTGGTTTTTTTCCAAATCAGAATGAGTTAATAGAACCAATTTATTAAATCGTGGAATATTTACTGACTCAAAAATGCTAGTGAGTGGGTGAGTTTGGTTTAACGCCACTTTGAACAGTTGTAAAACGGTGTGGGAGGAAACACCAAGTTGAAGCAGTTCTAAGACATGTTCCACTTTGATAAACCCACAATCACGGAAATGGTGCCGACAAAAATAGAAGCATGATCAGGGTGAACAGGGAATTGAACCCACGAACAAAGGAATCTTGCAAGTTTAAGGGACAAAGCTCCGCAGAGCGAATTGCGGCGCCTGAGACGACTTGACCATCTGTGATCACCCTCTGTGCCAGTACGCCAGTAACAGACACTGTTACTCCCCTTTAATGACGTTTTGTTTGTTGTTTGACGCCGAACTCTGCAATATTCCAGCAGGAGGACGGCGTTTTGTAAAGAATCGAGTCTGCACCAGAGGATCGAGTGATTGACATCATGAACATCAATCCACACAATAGGGATATGATGATTACCCGACCCATTTAGTCACCTCTTATGGCAAACATAGGTTGCATGTAACCCCAAAAAGATGAGGAAGTTAGATAAATTTTAGAGTCACAGGCTGTTTCGTTTCTTTTCTCATTTTGACACATGAGTGCCAGATCCTTTATTGGCTCAGCCGAACTTTGAACCCGGCTGCTCGGGGAAACCCATCTTCCATGATAAAAATGTCAGTTCTGCTAGTAAAATAAAACATTAGTTACTGCTCCGGGCTGTAACACTAGTACTAAGAATAGGGAAGATGTTGTTTGTTACCAAAAGGAACATATCTTCACAACAGTGAGTAAGGGTTTGACGGCGGGTTCAACTTTAGTTTTCACACCTATTGTAAGTTTAATCTCGCATGAAATCGCATCTCTAATCATGCCGGTTCTCTCCACGACATCGCGCCACGTACGTCACGTCAACATGGCGCGGTAGATGACGGCACCTGGTTCATCTGGGCGAGAGTCTGGCTGTGGACAGCAGCTGGTTCATCTGAGCGAGAGTCTGGCTGTGGACAGCAGCTGGTTTATCTGAGCGAGAGTCTGGCTGTGGACAGCTGCACGATCTCCAGCATCAAGTCCTGGGGGAGCTGCTTGAACTGAGGAGTCAAGGACACGGACGCCAGATTTGAAGCCAAAAACTCGAGGCACACTTCCCGAATATCATCTAGAAGACAGAAAAAGAAAAACATGTCTTCAAATTGCTTTCCGATTATATGCTGCTTTTAAATCTTCATAAAATATGGTTGTCATCCATGACGTCATCCATGACGTCATTTGCCCCCATTGCCATGAGGTATGTTGTATGAAATATTAATATCCAAGATGGCTCCAAATGATTGACACCAATTGGAAACAATGAATTTCTTTACGGTTCTTTTGGCATTAAAAGTTGAAAAAAGACATAAAATATTATATGTATTAATGTACTTGACATAGAAAATTAACATGGAATATTCCACGGCGAGGTCCTGAAAAGAAGATTACAGAAACAGAGATAGAGAAACTATATCGAACATTACAGTGTTGTATCACGGTGCCATAAAAAACAGCATGAATGACGAAGCTATTGCATTCAATGCAGCCATCACATGCAGTGACAAAGTCAGATAAGACGCATTATCAGCTTAAGCAAAATCTGAATACTTACTGCGGTTTCATAACCATTTTGTAATACAAATGTTTGTTTGTTGTTAAACGTCGCACTCAGCAATATTCCAGCTATATGACGACGGTCTGTAAATACTCGAGTCTGGACCACACATTGATGGATGTCATGGTTGATGTCATGAGCAACTGGGATACAATGACATGCATCAACCAAGTCAGCGAGCCTGACCACCCGATCCTGTTAGTCGCCTTTTACGACACGAAAAGTCGTCCTGCTGTGAGAATGAGTGATAAGCGACTAGTGATCGACGCAGCGTCAATGTCGACACACGAGTCACCACATGCAGTGACAAAGTCGGATAAGGCGCATTATCAGCTTTAGCAAAGTCAAAATGAATAGGCATGTGTCAAGTGAATTTCGGATACAACAAACGTAGTCTAGTACCCTTGGTATTCCTTACATCAGATATCACAACACATCAAAAACATAATTAATATTAGTAAAATATCACCTGAAATCGGTTCTTTAGCGATGGCGTTGGCGTACACATCAACGACGTTGTCCGTGTCCAATTTGGCGTCGATCATCGTCACCGCCAACGCTCGGAGGCCATCCATTTGAAGTATCGCCGCAGCTGCCACAAATACAACATCTAATGTCTCAAAAAATATTTTCAATGGAATTTCAGGACCAATAGATAGTCATTTAAAGAATCCTTAAAAGTGATCATCAAATAATCGATTTAAGTCTCTCCTACGCAGCTGCGGCAAAATACAACATGCAATGTCTCAAAATATAATAATTGCACTCGAAATGCAGGACCTGAAGATAGTCATTTAAGAATCCTTAGAAGCGATCCATCGAATAATCGATTTAAGTCTCTCCCTAATAGAGGTATCCACTACACGAGCCCGGGATTCTGACCATTGTACGCTCGTACTCGTCATTAGTGCATCACCCGCCTCTTCTTTCAAGCCCCATCGCGGAATTTTCTGCCCTGCTACGTCCACGTCCTGCTTCTCGTTGATATCCACATTCACCTCCTTATCTGAAGCATTATCCAACATACCAACCCCCTTTCAGAACTGCTATCCCTCTACCGCCCCATCCCAACACCGGTGGCTCACCTCTCCACACGTCCACCAAGACGTATGCTGTCTGGTCGCCGGGGATACGGCCGCTGTACACGTAGTGGAGGACTCCAATGAAGGCGTAGGCACTCATACGTTCTATAGGAATTGCACCTTTCTGCAGGAATAAACGTGTAATTTTGGTCTCAGGTTACAGCAATGCCCAATATATATATATATATATATATATATATATATATATATATATATATATCAAAGTACTCTTGAAAATCACATTCGTGAAATCGGTTGAGTGAATTATATACTGAACCGCAAAAGAAACGTCACCATGGATAGACATATGAGAAACCTTATTTGTCCAAACACTGTAAACATACTTTGAGACATATTAGAAAGACGAAACTTGGCAAAACTGATCTTCAAGGTTTAAATTAAAGTGTCAAATGTTCTAAAAGTGAAACACAACACTAGTCTCTGAGAAAACGGCTTCACAAGTCAGTATCTCGTGTGTCCGCCATGTGCCTTGATGACTGCCGTGCAACGTCAACATGCGGTTGATGAAGGCCATAGGCACTTGAGCCCAAACTCTGAAGAACGCCTGACGCAGTTAAGCTGCAGTTGTCGGCTTTGGTCGGACGTCATTCAGCCGTCTTTGAATCTCGTTCCACAGGTGCTCAGTGGGATGTAAATCGGGACTGAGGGCAGGTCACTGCATGGATATGATGCCATTCTGCTGGAGGAAGTATCTGTTGCTATCGCAGTGTGGGCACGGGCGTTATCATGCTGAAACTCGTGGTTGCCGCGACGTGCCAAATGAGGTATTGCGTGTGGTCTCAAGACTTGATCAATGTACCGAGCTGCTGTGACACCATTGCCTCTCCCTGGACCGATGTTCTGGAAGACCGCAGGGCCGACCCTCTGTGCAAGATCAATTCCACCCCACACCTTGATGCTCGGACCACCCCACGAGTCTCTCTCAACAACACAAGCATCCGTTTAACGTTCCCCACGGCGTCGCCAGACTCTCTCTCTCTGCCATCTGCTCTTGAGATACAGTAACGGCTCTCGTCTGAGAAGAGGACTCTTCTCCACTGCTGGTGGCGCCAATGCTGGTGCTGTGTTGCCCACTGAAGACGGTCCCGGCGATGACGAGGTGTCAGAATGGGTCCTCGGTGTGGCCTGTGACAGTGGAGATGTCTGCTCGTCAATCGTCGACGCACGGTGTCCGCACTAATGTGTCGTTGGTGTGTCCCCATGGTCTGTCGAGCAGTTTCCGTAGCAGTAACAAAGCGATCTTGAAGATGCTGTCGCACAATCTGACGATCTTGACGTCGGGTGGTGACCCTTGGTCTTTCACTACGTGGTCGGTCATCTGTAGTGTTGGTGGTCTGGTATCGTTGCTGGAGCCTGTATATGGTCCTTACGTGGACTTGAAATGCATTGGCTACTTGCCGGGCAGTTTGTCCAGCTTGCAATCATCCAAGGGCTTGATGTCGCTGATGTCTTGTCAATGTTGGCATGTGGTAGCAATTCAATAACGAATGAATGTTATCCGATCTGGGTGGATTTTTATAGGGCAAGAAATGGGGGAACGCATGTGCATTTCAATTTGCATGGAACTCACGTGCATCGGGTTACCATGGCCGTTGCCGTGATGCGTTTGGGCGATCGGATTTATTGTCATCTGCTTTGTTTTTATCATCAAATTTCATTTTTCCGGACAAGGTAATGTTAAATTTTAGAAACTTTGACAAAAAATACCCAGATATTTAAATGACAACTTTTCATGCAATTTTACTCGGGGTGATGTTTCTTTTGCGGTTCAGTATATATTGTTCGGTTTTTATCGACCTCAGCAGATATCGTAATTTAGCCTCAGTTCCTGTTATGGAAGTGTCAGGATAAACTCGTAATAATATAAGTACTATATTATATTTTACGTAGCCATGCTACAACTGATAATTATTACGATTTATTTGCGGTTTATATTCAATAATTTGCATAAATTTCAGATCAATAGCTTACCTGAACAGTAAATACAGGAGTGAGTATGGTTTTACGCTACTTTTAGCAATATTCCAGCAATATGACGGCGGGGGACACCTGAAATGGGCTTCACACATAGCACCCATGTGGGGAATCGAACCCGGGTGTTCGGTGATACGAGCGAACGCTTTAACCACCAGGCTACCCCGTCGCCCCAAAATAGAGTAAAATCAGTTGGTGTTTTATCGTCTTTGTAACGCCAGATTACAAAAGCATGTTATAATTTGATAGTACATTACTGATTGCAAAGGAGGTTGTAACTTTCAAAACTTACAACAATACAACACAAAAGTCAATGATAACTTGATTTTCAAACTTACCTCCGATGCTGCTGACATGATGACCTTCAACTTCGGCGACCTGACCGACAAGATGGCGCGGTGACCGTAGACCTCTGTGCCCTGGACACAGAACACGACGTCGCTGGTGTCCTTGTCGTTGACGAGTTTGGCAAAGTCATCAGCCAACGCCGACAACGAGGGTGGGGGTTCTGTCGGTGGATGTATTGAACAGTAGTGACGTGAAATAGATGGAAACATCTAAGAATACACCGCTATCAGACATGAACATGGTGAGTATACTGAATACTTTCTGCGGTTTTATAACCATTATGTAATACAAAGGCAAGAGTATGGATCCAGCCAGCTGTGACAATGTTTGTTAGTTTGTTGTTTAACGCCGCACTCAGCAATATTCCAGCTATATGACGGCCGTCTGTAAATAATCGAGTCTGGACCAGAAAATCCAGCCATTGACAGCATGAGCATCGATCCACACAGTTGGGATACGGTGACATACATGAACCAAGTCAGCAAGCCTGACCACCCGATCCCGTTGGTCGCCTTTTACGACACACACAGTCGTCCTGCTGTGACAATGATGGACGGGCGACTGGTGACCGACATTGCGTCAGTGTGTCCACAGGAGTGAATATTGTTCAACTCAGTGTTCCAGTTATATAACGTCGATCTGACTGGAGCGGGCAAACCATTAACTAAAGGCATGAACAACGTTCCACGCCATCGGGACATGATGACACACAATCAGCGCTTGATCATTACGTCACAGTCTCTGACTTCCAGCGTCTCTTTGGTCGGCCCTTTACAGCCAACGCTCTAACCACCTGGCCCACTAACCCTGAATGCTTTGCTGTTTGTTTGTTTGTTGTTTAACGCCGCACTCAGCAATATTCCAGCTATATGACGGCGGTCTGTAAATAATCGAGTCTGGACCAGACAATCCAGCGACTGACAGCATGAGCATCGATCCGCGCAAATGGGATACGGTGACATACATGAACCAAGTCAGCAAGCCTGACCACCCGATCCTGTTGGTCGCCTTTTACGACACACACAGTCGTCCTGCTGTGACAATGAGGGAAACGGCGACTGGTGATTGACACAGCGTCAATGTCGACACAAGGGTGATTGTTGTTTAACTCAGCAGAGCTACAGATAAGCAGCGTATTTGCGTAAAATCCCCCCCCCCCCCCCCCCCCCCCCCCCCCAAATATTCAAATCCAAATTACTTTCAATTCACTTGCGCGCAGGAACACATGCATTAAACGAAAAACTCAAATGTTTAAAAACAGCACGCGTAAATACCCAATGAAGCTTTTTCAGCATGCGAACAAAGGGGCTAATTTCCAAAACACAATTACGAGATAATTTACTATCCGAGTCAAGCCCATATATTGTGAACAGTTATATACATCTAAAACATTATTTCATACTTTTGAAATCTTAAAATGTTCACTCCTTTTGGGAAAAAACCCTGGCGAGTGATGAATAGATGAATGAAAACATATTGGTTACCGTATGAAAAATGCAATAACCCAATTAAAATGGAAACCCTAGAAAAACTCAGACTCAGTATTCCAGTTATATCACGTCGACCTGTCTGGAACGGGCAAACCACAGACTGAAGGCATGAACAACGATCCACGCCAACGGGACATGATGACCATCTTCACGGTGTTGTGAGCAGGTCGACGATTCGATACCAAAAGACGTACTTGTTGTTACCCTCCCTCTGCAGTACTGCTTGCCATACGCGCTTTCATTTTCTCACACACATCATCGATCTATCGTTGGACGAGATTTGTATGTTATGGAAGGAGGTGATGATTGGTCTGGAGTGATTGTATTGTCTTACCAGATTTTAACTTTCTGCCCACCAACTCGACGGCGTCTATCTCGACCCATGACTGTGCCACAGAACAGTCGACGTCGAGTCGCACCTCCTTGGTCCTGAAGTTGGGGGTCTGTATATGTAGAAAGCATACTGCATGGTAACCGTGGTAACACCGTGTTCTACAGAGCGTCATGTTACACCTGGGGTAGTATCAATGTAACACTATCACACGGTGTTCTACAGAGCGTCGTATTACACCTGGGGAAGTATCAATGTAACACTGTCACACCGTGTTCTACAGAGCGTCGTATTACACCTGGGGAAGTATCAATGTAACACTATCACACGGTGTTCTACAGAGCGTCGTATTACACCTGGGGTAGTATCAATGTAACACTATCACACGGTGTTCTACAGAGCGTCATGTTACACCTGGGGTAGTATCAATGTAACACCGTCACACCGTGTTCTACAGAGCGTCGTATTACATCTTTGGGTAGTATCAATATAACACTGTCACACCGTGTTCTACAGAGCGTTGTATAATATCTTTGGGTAGTATCAATGTAACACTGTCACGCCGTGTTCTACAGAGCGTCATGTTACACCTGGGGTAGTATCAATGTAACACTGTCACACCGTGTTCTACAGAGCGTCATGTTACACCTCGGGTAGTATCAATGTAACACTGTCACACCGTGTTCTACAGAGCGTCACATTACATCTTTGGGGTAGTATCAATGTAACACTGTCACAATGTGTTCTACAGAGCGTCATATAACATCTTTGGGTTGTATAAATGTAACACTGTTACACCTCGTTCTACAGAGCATCATATTACATCTTTGGGTAGTATCAGTGTAACACTGTCAGACCGTGTTGTACAGACATTCACATTACCCCTGGGGTAGTATCAATGTAACACTGTCACACGGTGATCATTTTCGCGAGAGACAAGTGACCAATAAACTACTGCTCAAAATAACATTCCCTCGATTACCACCGAGTCGAGGGGCGGTCGGGTAGCCTAGTGGTTAAAGCGTTCGCTCGTCACGCCGAAGACCAAGGTTCGATTCCCGACATGGGTACAATGTGTGGAGCCCATTTTTGGTGTCCCCCGCCGTGATATTGCTGGAATATTGCTAAAAACGGCGTAAAACCATACTCCAGTAATTCCATACTTAATTCCAGTATCCCACCATATCGTTCAATATGTAACATCATTGCAGAATCCTCATCGAAATGGTTCAATACTGATACTAACTTGTCTCGAACAATGTACGGATAAGTCGATGTCAATTTGAATTTCCCTAGTTCTTCGAGATAACAAGGTTCCACAGACTATGTCGAGTCGTCTAAGTGAGCCACTACGGTACTGACACTCACCTTGATATCAGGGGAGAATATCCTGCTCTCCTGGAACACTTTTACCTTTCCCGTCTCCCATAACGTCTCCCACGTGCCCCCGGGGGATCTGACAGACACCCTCTTCACTCCACCAGAGTGGAGAGTCTCGTAGATGTTGATGCCGGACACGTGCACGGCTGTGTCGTACCCCAGCTGCAACAAGTAGTTTTCCCCAACAAATGTAGCAATTACACCGCACTTACGAATACCGCTGTTTACTTTGTAAGACCATAGGAGGAGATATTAATCAAATACCTGTTACAGTTCACAGATAAAGTCACCCTTTCAGTTCACTGTTCACTGGGTATGTTTCACTGACCTCAATAAACTGTTTATTGTCGCGTGTCCTCTGTGCCCACGCCCCCTCAATGTCCCCATAGCGGGGGTACACCCGGGGTGGCCCCACTGCCGCACTTGCCGGCCACCTGAATAACAAACACAGTGGAGACACTGGACTGTAGCAAACAGCCTATCTTCGATTGTTTCGAGTGAGTGAGTGAGTGAGTGAGTGGGTGAGTGGGTGGATGGGTGAGTGAGTGAGTGAGTGAGTGGGTGAGTGGGTGGGTGGGTGGGTGAGTGAGTGAGTGAGTGAGTGAGTGAGTGAGTGAGTGAGTGAGTGAGTGAGTTGTTACCCTAACTTTTATATATTTCGGCAAAATTACGCAGACAAAATTAATTACATCTAAAGTTGGACATTCTGTCACCTCTAAGAAAGTATACACCCATGTTTGATAGTGGCTGAACATGAAACATTCAAAACATGGTGATGTATTTGACACGGGTTTCGACAGTTGTGTTTTGGACCATAGGTGTGCAGTGTTTCGGCGACTGTTTTCAGCCTAGAAACATTTGGATAACGTTTAAAATTGTATTTACAAATCCAATTCGAAGTCACTTTCTTTTGCCCGGCAGTGTAGCACAACTACTATACATACGTTTAACCTTCGCGTGATTCAAAGTCATCATGTCACGCTCTGAGTCATAATTACACACTCGCTTATTTGTAGTTTTGAAGGTTGAAGGGAAAAGTCATTATCTGCAAAATATATAAAACTTCAAACATGTCCTGATATATTGTCATGAAAACAATTATGCGCTTTTTTTTTATAAACGAGTGGAGATAAGCGTGAAATGTATCACGTGCTCAGTTCTTGTGACGACAGTTTAGCAGTACCTTGGTTTTATTGGACAAAATATGAAACACCAGAAACCAAGAAAGGTGACGAGGTGAGACCGAGTTACCTCCCTTGTTCAATGTTTACATTCTGGCAAAACACAATGCGGAAGTGCGGCAGAGATATTTCAACGTCTCCCGAACCGCATTAAACAATATCATGCGTTCTGGACATATATGTATATCGTTTAACTGAATTCTTTTTAATATCTTCATCGAAGTAAAATATTAAAGTATCACAGGTAACCAACAGTGAATCAATGGTATACTGTCCGACGGTCGATCGAGGTCAAGCAAAAATGTCACAACAGTAGTCGATGGTTTCAGGTATTGGTGATTGTCTAGCGTGTCAAATCATAGTTAAACTAAGACACCAATGGCAATGGATTAGTCTGTCTTACAGACCCTGATACAAATATATATCTAATACAACCAATGTTTGGCAAGTCTAGACTACTGCAGTATCTGAAAATGAAGAGAGTCACTGGCCTCCCTTTTATTATATTTTTATTAAGATAACTGAACAACTGTTGTTGTTTTCTGTACGAAATGTTCATTTCAGAGACTAGATGTTAGTCTACCAATGGATGTAACACAGAAATAATGTAAACATTCTGTTTGACACTACAGGTTACTGTTATACGTTTGGAGGTCAGTATCTGATTCACGTACCCATTCGAGTCATACTGCGAAGAAAAATTGATGACTGTTGACGCCCATTGCTGGAGTACCCCGGTCGCCGAGGTGTCGGGATTCGTCATCTCCCTGTTACTGTTACACACTGACCAGCCTGATACTAATCCGACCTACCTGGTATGTATGGTCAATTGATTACAGGTAATGAGACGCGGACAGGTGTATTATGAATGCGTTGTCAATGGAGACAGTGTATGAGACGGGGGCGTTGCCTGACCCGGACTCCAGCTTCATTGTTGTCTTAGTAACTCAGTAATAGTTATAGTTTTGTGTGGTATTTCATTACGATTTGAAATTCTTACTTTGATCAATAGTATATATGTGAGAATAATGAGGTCATTTAAAAGCTTTTGCTTATGTCCGTAAAATAGATAGATAGATAGATAGATAGATAGATAGATAGATAGATAGATAGATAGATAGAAAGATATAGATATAAAGATATATATATATATATGACCTCATTATTCTCACAGATATATTATTGATCAAAGTAAGAATTTCAAATCGTAATGAAATACCACAAAGTAAAAAACATCGCACATACGGAAAAACGAATAAGAGAACAATTAAAAATAAAGGGAAATGTTTTACTGTCAGAACATTTGAAATAGCATTTACTTTTACTTTCTCTAAAACTAAATGTTCCCTTATTCATTTTCATCAGTTTATTTTACTGTGTTATGTCGAATTACTGGTGAAGTTCGTTTGCCTCGAATATCTGGATATCTCGAGACATGGTTCGACTGTCTACAAACGTTGTCATATCTACCACTACCATAATAAGTACTTATACTGATAATATCTCGACACTTAGTCCTAGTTATTTTGAATTTTCATTAGTAAATGTTGGTTGTTTTTGGTACTTCTAAAACAATCACAATACCAATATATCTCTAAAAATGTGTGATAAAGCTCTTTCTCAATTCTGTTCCTACAATAACTACTTATGGAAACACAATGTACGTACATGGGGTCATTTGGTGCAGTACTAAGTCTTGTAATGATACGATGTCAAACTGTTTGATACGGGTGCCAGTTCATCCCTTGTGTTCGGGGCGGTCGGGTAGCCTGATGGTTAAAGCGTTCGCTCGTCACGCCGAAGACACGGGTTCGATTCCCGACATGGGTACAATGTGTGAAGCCCATTTCTGGTGTCCCCCGCCGTGATATTGCTAGAATATTGCTAAAAGCGACGTAAAACCATACTCACTCACTCACTCACTCACTCATCCCTTGTGTTCACTACGCTGTTACGTCATACTTGAACGTCCTTCTTGTACCTATAGCTGCATCATCCCTGGATATGAAGAAGTCGGATAAGGACAAAGTCCGTTTTAATATCTCAACAGAAGTAAATAACGCTGTTATGGCTCTTAAGATTCCATCGTGTTCGTTGCATCCGGATTTGACTATCATCGACACAGGATATTTTAACGATTTACTCTGTCAGACCACCTAAACGTTTGACATCATGACCTTCGACATAGTTGACCTGACCAACACGATGGCCGTTGACCTCAATGCCCTGGACACGGAACACGACGTTGTTGGTGTCCTTGTCGTTGACGAGTTTGGAAGAGTCGTCATCCAACGAGGGTAGGGGTTGTGCCAGTAGCTGGTTTCTTTGGGAATCTGAGAATACACCGCCCTTAGTGTGCAATATGCATTTAACAGCCGAGGCAAAGACATTTCTTTGGGTTCGACAATTTCATCTTTTAAGGGAGACCTCGGATTTTTAAGAGCACCCCGTTTCCCTGGATACCTAACACAACGTCACTGGTGTCCTCGTCTTTCGCGAGTGTAACGTCATCAGTCAACGCCACAATAGCGGATGGAATAGACAATTTTGGCAACTGCCGGAGTTTTAAACTTTTATTGACTCGTGTTGATATATTTGATATCAAAAGACACAGATTGTCTATTTATTACCTTGATCATAAAATGGTGTTTAATTTGACACTTTAAAGTCCGAATCGATAGCCGTTCGTCTAAGAAATAACAACTGATACAAAACGCAGAAACATCGTAGAGAAACACCTCAGACAGTGAGATGGTGAATAATCTGGGGTGGCAGTGAGATGGTGAATAGTCTGTGGGGACAGTTGGACGGTGAAAAGTCAGGGGTGAGAGTGAGATGGTGAATAGTCTGGGGTGACAGTTGGACGGTGAATAGTCTGGGGTTACAGTAAGATGGTGAATAGTCTGTGTTGACAGACGGTGAATAGTCTGGGGTGACAGTGAGATGGTGAATAGTCTTGGGTGACAGTGAGGCGGTGAATAGTCTGTGTTGACCGACGGTGAATAGTGTGGGTTGACAGTGAGATGGTGATTAGTCTGTGGTGACAGTGAGACGCTGAATAGTCTTGGGTGACAGTGAGATGCTGAATAGTCTGGGGTGACAGTGAGATGGTGAATAGTCTGTGGGACAGATGGACGGTGAAAAGTCAGGGGTGAGAGTGAGATGGTGAATAGTCTGGGGTGACAGTGAGATGGTGAATAGTCTGTGGTGACTGTGAGACGGTGAATAGTCTGGGGTGACAGTTGGACGGTGAATAGTCTGGGGTGACAGTGAGATGGTGAATAGTCTGGGGTGACAGTGAGACGGTGAATAGTCTGGGTTGACAGTTGGACGGTGAATAGTTTGGGGTGACAGTTAGACGGTGAATAGTCAGGGGTGACAGTTGGGCGGTGAATAGTCAGTGGTGGCAGTGAGATGGTGAATACTCTGAGGTTACAGTAAGATGGTGAATAGTCTGTGTTGACAGACGGTGACTAGTCTGGGGTGACAGTTAGGTGCTGAATAGTCTGGGCCGACAGCGGGACGGTGAATAGTCTGGGGGACAGTGAAATGGTGAATAGTCTGGGGTGACAGCGAGGTGCTGAATAGACTGGGGTGACAGTGAGCCGCTGAATGGTCTGGGTTGACAGTGAGACGGTGAATGGTCTGGGGTAACAGTGAGACGGTGAATAGTCTGGGTTGACAGTGAGACGGTGAATGGTCTGGGGTGACAGTGAGACGGTGAATAGTCTGGGTTGACAGTGGGACGGTGAATGGTCTGGGGTAACAGTGAGACGGTGAATAGTCTGGGGTCACAGTGAGCCGCTGAATGGTCTGGGGTGACAGTGGGACGGTGAATAGTCTGGGGTGACAGTGAGACGGTGAATAGTCTGGGGTGACAGTGGGACGGTGAATAGTCTGGGTTGACAGTGGGACGGTGAATAGTCTGGGGTGACAGTGAGACGGTGAATAGTCTGGGGTGACAGTGGGACGGTGAATAGTCTGGGTTGACAGTGGGACGGTGAATAGTCTGTGGTGACAGTGAAATGGTGAATAGTCTGGGGTGACAGCGAGGTGCTGAATAGTCTGGGGTGACAGTGAGCCGCTGAATGGTCTGGGGTGACAGTGAGACGGTGAATAGTCTGGGTTGACAGTGGGACGGTGAATAGTCTGGGGTGACAGTGAGATGGTGAATAGTCTGGGGTGACAGTGAGACGGTGAATAGTCTGGGTTGACAGTGGGACGGTGAATAGTCTGGGTTGACAGTGAGACGGTGAATGGTCTGGGGTGACAGTGAGACGGTGAATAGTCTGGGTTGACAGTGGGACGGTGAATAGTCTGGGGTGACAGTGAGATGGTGGGTCATGCGTGTTATTATCCGCGCATTATTCTGCCAGTGGCCTACTGCAATGATAATACAAACTTCGCTACTACCACTGTGTATTTGTACAACTACCGGTACCACATATATTCTTGTATTTGTATACAAATATATGTTTCAAAACTAGTATTTACGAGCTTATTGCGATGGTGCTGCTGGTCTAAGGGAAGTAATAGTCACTTAAGTTCTTTTAAATTATCTCCCTTTGACCACAGAGCATGTTCAATCATCGTTTTGTTTAATTAATTTATTATTTTCATGGCAATATCACCACATACTTGACACAATATGTTTAATGGAAAATCTTATTTTTTAATTATCTACTGTTTCTTCGTGTTCTGATGAGAACAATAGCGTACAAATTTCTATCACAGCAGCCGTTTATGAAGAAATGAATTAAGAGTCATAAAATCTAGTTAGACGTGTTCCAAGGGGGACAACCCTGTCAGAACTAAAGTATCAAAACACCATAGAATCAACAAAATGTCCCCAGCAGAGTTGTATCTATGGTGAAATTTGAAAACTATTAAAAAAATTCAAAGCATGCCAAAAAGAACTATTTTTAAAAAGTGCATAAACGTTCTCGGTTCCGTGTGAAAGCCAGTTAATCGTTTCCATTGCCGTGATGGTGAAAATAGCTGTTATATGATCTAGGATTTTAATGTTTTAGCCTAAATAAAACATAAAAATATTCAATTAGGGTTTTCGATTATTATTTTAAAACCATATGGTGAGATATTAATGGAAGGGAAATATAAAATAAGCGACATAGTGCTATAGACCATAATAGATCAATTGTATCAATCATAACATCAATCGAAAGGTAAAATTTAATAAATTGCAATTGAAACAAATTGTGTTTATGATAAAACACAAGTTAAGCGGTAATTTAAATTGGAAACAATAACATTTGAACCAAATACCAAAACAGAAATGTTTGTCTGTCTAAATGTCTGCCTGACCACTCACTCACTCACTCACTCACTCACTCACTCACTACAAGCAAACCAACACGCTACAACAAAAGTAATATATTTTGTCCAACACCCAGCACACCCCGACATTAGACCGAAAGTGTCTGCAATGTGATTAAACGCACTAATCTACTTCACCTAGGAGGATAAAAGAGACGGAACCCAGCCTAATGAGACATCACTACCTTTAGATTTCGCCTAATCTACTTCTCGATGTGATCTTTGTTCCAGTCCAAGACGACTGTGCTCGTATTAATTAAGAGCAGCATTAAAGATTGACGAGTTAGCATTTAGAAAGACTCTAATCACATTTTGGCTGCTACGGAGGTAAAAATATCAGTGTTATGTCGTGGCTTTATCGAGCATCTTCGGATATGGTCGGATATCTTCGTTATTTTCCGTAATCTCTTCCAATTTTGAAGTTTGAGTGGCAGCTGTCATGTTGTGAACTACAAAATGATGCCAGATTATTTCAGGGTTATTTTATGTGAGTTTTTGAGTGCATATTCATATGGAAGACATAAGACCCTGCAGGAAACATCAATCTAACTGCAATATTTTGTTAAAACAACATGCCAGCTTTGTGAATTTCATTTTGTTA